ACCCAGGCTACTCACTGCCCAAGTGTGCATTTATCTGAAGTTATTTTCTGCTGTATTGCACTGGAAGGTCTGAAGATTTCTTTTGTCCACCTATCTAGCTTACCCAAGTGGAACTATTCATAAAACGTAAATTTAAAAACATTCCAAAGTCTCGGTCACCCTGATAATCTCTGCAGATGAGAATCTGATGAGGAAATATGACCAAAGTTGCACAGGTCTGGACTTCAGAAGACATCTGTGGGGACCAAGGAAGTGGGACATTTATTGAGCATCTACTATGGACCAGGCATGCATTAGACATATGCTTTCTCTTAATTCTCAGGGGGAAAAGTCACATATGTTGTTTCATTACCCAGATGAGAAATGGAGGCTCAGAAAAGGAAGTCGCTCCTCTAAGTCCGCCCAGGTAGTAAGGTACTGGGATTCCGCACCAGGCATGACTGAGACAGCACATCTCACACCGCAGGCCTCCACTTCCTAGTGCAAGGCACAGGCCAGGGACAAATCCCTCCATAACAGTGGGGGCTGGATTTGTGTGGTCCAGGAAGATTCTCGCCCCCCTGCCACTGTCACCACTATTCCTAGGCACACTGAGAGGTCTGGCTCTTAGCAGGCAGACATCAGGCCTCCTCAGCACTGTCATACTTCTCAAGAAGTGAGGTTCAGAGGCAATAAGATCAGAGATAACAAGTCGACCTCTTTGAAAGTTTTGTTTGGGACACTGTTTTCTACAGTGCCAGATGTCTACGTCTGGGGATCACTTCACATAATGTTGAATCACATATCAGGAAGTTTATACCCTTTATAATTATCTTTCAATACTCCAGTTAAATCAAACACAAAATCGTGGGGGCTAGAATGTCTCTATCCTACCTCTTAATAATCCCCCTCTGTGAGAGAGAACATAGCTCGGAGCCTTCAGCTGCTAGAATTTAAGAACATTATTTAATTTCCCCTACATTAAAATTTATTTTTAAGGGTACCTTCTAATGATGTCCAGGGATGCTGGCCTTTCATTTGCAGTGTGTATGTGTGTATATGTGTGTGTTTTAATCATTCTAAGTAGAAAATAATGGGTCAATTAAATGAAAAAACAAACAACAACAAAAAATCAATAATAGTGCTGTGTACATAGAAGTGCCCCAAAAAAGTGAGAGTGGTTTTCAAATGACTGAAGTTTGAGAAACAGTGCACTGGGTAAACCAGATAGAAGTTTTAAGCCATCGAAGAAAAAGAGGAAGGAAGAAGCCTTAGGGAAATGACTGCTATTCTAGTCAAATATAAAACATTGAAAATGCACTTGATCCCTTTCCCAAGAACAAGGAAAGGCAACCAAAGTTAGAAGAGATACGTACTTATGGATACCTCTCCTTCAAAGGCATTGGTCAGGTTTGTGATTGCGGTACAATCTTCTCCTTGCGGTGCTATGAGGTAAAAAAGAAAAAAGGCGTGAGAACTCCAAAAAGTATGAGCAAAATCAATTCCCATTTCTTTTAGTTAATTAGTATGGAGTTTCATTATAACTTATTGCAAATATTTTCCTTTTCTGAAATTTGGTTAAGTCTCCTGGGAACTTCTCTGGCCTTTGTGATGCATTTTGCATTTTTATTTTGCTTTACACATTTTTTTGGAAGCTCACTTGTTATTCTTCCCATCCCAACAAATTCATTCATTAACAAATACATATGTTCTATATCAGGCATTGTGGAAGGCTGGGGGTACAACAATGAATAAGATAGGCATGGTCTTTCTCTAATGAAGCACACGTTAGAGTTGCTTGTCAGCAAAGAGTAAGGAAGAAAGGAATGGATGGATGGATGGATGGATGGTTGGTTGGATGGATGGGTGAATGGAGGCAGGCAGGCAGATTGCTATCACAAGGAAGGCCATTATCACAAATATTTTAAGTGTCCTGCCATACACCACTTGGTATCATAACATTAAACAAAAACACAAGTTGAACAAAACAGGGATTGGTTGCTTCCCAGTTCCTAGGAGATCTTTTCCCATAGATAAAGGGATGTCCTTTACCTGCCTATTTCTTTGGCCTCATAGTGAAACTAAAGGGCAGCAAGTTTTAGGAAAAGCCCTTCTTGCAAAGGCTGATTCAAAGATTTCTCAGAAGAGAGACTCTTCAAAGAGAAAGTTGCCTCCTTGGGAAGTACATTCCTCACCATCCAATGTAAACTAGGCCCTCAACTCTCCCCCATGCCTGTCACCATCACACCTGGTCTGCTCTCATTTCTCCCTCTACCGCTACCTAAAATTATCATGTTCATTTTCCTGGATGACTGCTCATGGCACAGCTCCCAAGCCCTACCACCTGCTGCACACCCACCTCCATAGAAATATTTAAGCTCCTCAAGATGAGTAGGAACCTCATCTGTCTTGGCCAGGATATTTATGGGGGCAGAGAGGGGCTCAAATATTTGTTGAATGAATGAAAACGGAAAAAAAGTCCATTCTTCTAGTAAACACACCTAAGATGGAAACCCCCAAATAGTCCGCAAATATAAACAGGTCAAAAAACATTTAGATAAACCCTGAATGGCAATGCCATGAGAAATAATTAAAGGCAGCTCCAGATAAATCAGTCCATGTATTCATTATTTTAGGTATTTACTTAACACATAATAAAAAGGAAGCCAAAAAAAATGTTCTTGTCCCTGCTTTTGAGGAATTCACAAGATCATGAAGGGCAATAATAATTAACATTCTTTAGATTTTTATAGTTTTCAAAATATTTTTCCAATAAATCCCTCATTTAAGAATCAGGGCAAATAGTCGCTCTAGGTGATGTTGAAGAGCATCTACCCAGTCTGCCTGGGGCGGGGGGGGGTGGGGGGGGACGGGGTGGGGGGGGGGGACGGGGGGGACACACCACCAGAACTGGCCTGACCTGTGACCTGCTTCTGACATTGTTACATTATACAGGCCCAGAATCTGACCTTGGATTATGACTTCTTAATGGCAGGAATGGAAGAACACCCCCCTCCCCCCAAATTCAAACATAACTGCAGGTTACACTGGGAATTTCTAGGAGTTAAGTTGTAATAGAAGGGGGCATGATGTCAAAAACTCTAAGAGAGTTTTGTAAATGATTAGAGCATTTGTTCAAATGGACCCCCTTCATGCTCCAATTCACCTTAACTCTTATGAAGAACATCAAATCTGGCAGGCACGCTGGCAGGATGGTGACCCAAATGTGCAATCAACACATTCATGCTCCCGTGTCAGACAGCAGGGCCTCATTAGAAGGCCTTTCATTCTGTTTAATGAGCATTGTGTTGCTGGGAGAAACAGGCCTGGTGGGGGCTTCCTGAACCTAAAGATTTGTTAGAAAGACTCTGAGGTGAGCTTCCTGGTGGGCTGCATCTCAAAACCTTGCCTCCACTGCACCAAAAACAGCCAAGGAAATGGTTAACTATTCAGTCTAGCCCACCACTCGGCCCCAGATAGAAAGATTCCTTCCTCAATGCCTGATACATTCTAGGTATCCAATAAATATTTGTTCAATAAATGAGTGAGTGAATACACAAGTAAACATAGAATCTTCCCTAAATTTCTCCTTCAAAAGCGAGGCGTTTTATTCAAAGCCAACTTTAAAAATGAACTCATTCAAGTGAGTTCCTCTGTTGTTTACACAGAAGCCACCAGGCTCATGCTGGGCCTTCTCGCTGACAGATGAGGCAATAAAAATCACCAAGCCTTTGCAGGGTCTGCCTTATTTTCATTTGGAAACCACAGGCTGTGTTTTATAAAAACATTGCTGAAATTGTAAGCATGCAGAAGCTATCTGCTAAGATTGAGCTGGCTTTGGTCCCTGCGACCAGTTTGCCGGGGGAGGGGCGTGGAGCGCATCACTGGGTCCTGCTGGTAGTTCTCAGGCTGAGTTGGATGCAAGGATGTTTCCACTGAGATCCGTCACATTGTGCGGAGGTTATCAAGATCTGTAGCTCACTTAATATCCCCATCATCTGACTCTCAGCCAAGACAGTTTAATGAAAGCCGTTTATCTTTAGATAAACATTCTTCTTACCGCCTTCACTTTTTGTCTTTGTTGCTTCAACAAGATTAACTCTCAAGATAAGAAATATGGTCCCCTGCTCTTTCTCATTCCACTCTGCCCGGCACAGTACTGAGCGCACATAGCCGATCAACCAACAGACTTAAAAACTTCAAGAAAAACTTACAAAAGCAGCCTACTCATATTGAGTAAATTTGGAAAGGAGAAAAAGATAAATGTCACTCTGAATTTCACGACTTTAAGACAGCCACTTTGCTATGCAGTACACCCCCAGGACTTCTCAACTTTTCACCCCCCAGAGAGGAGGAAAGTGAACAGTACTCTTCACTCACTTCTCTGAGGACAGGCCCAATCTCTCGGGCAAAAATAAGGACAGGGAGAAAAGTCTCCGTAGTAACTTGTCTAGCTGACTTCATTTCCAGGCAATAAAACAAGGTGAGCTTCTACCTTTTTGAATTAAGGTTCTTTTCAGCAAGTGACAGCAACTTGTAAATCAGGTGAGACAACGTGGATATGCAACAGCATAATTTATTGCAGACATTCACTCAACACAGCTCAGTAGGAGACAGAGCAGGCAGAACCCAGATACTCTAAGGCAGCGGTTCTCAACCTGTGGGTCGTGACCCCTTTGGGGGTCGAACGACCCTTTCACAGGGGTCGCCTAAGACCATCAGAGAACACATATATAATTACATATTGTTTTTATGATTAATCACTATACTTTCATTATGTTCAATTTGTAACAATGAAAATACATCCCGCATATCAGATATTTACATGACGATTCATAACAGTAGCAAAATTACAGTTATGAAGTAGCAACGAAAATAATTTTATGGTTGGGGGTCACCACAACATGAGGAACTGTATTAAAAGGTCGCGGCATTAAGAAGGTTGAGAACCACTGCTCTAAGGTATGCAGTCTGGTGCTAGCCCTTTTCCATAGGGTCATCCCCCTCACCTAAAGCACAGTCTTCCCAACTCTCCCATGAGCTCTGGCACTAAGATAAGCTAGCTAGACCACATGTGGCTCTGTGTCTATTTCCTCATTATTTGCATGGGGTTTTTCTCATTCTCATGTCATTAGAATGGACATTCTGAGTATGGTTATGGGACCTGGGTATGGGCCATGTACTGTGTCCCCTCAGTTGGACTAGCCTCCTTTTGGTCAAATGCCTTTTGTGTTCTTTGTTCATATGACAGGGGAGGAGTAAATAGTGTACATTTTTCTCCTAATTTTGAATGTTCCTCCATAGGGTTAGTGACCTGTAACATTTTTGGACACTCCATTTCAACTAACCAGCCCTGGTAATTTCTCTTTCTCCTAAACTCTAGATTACCCCTCTGAATTCTCACTCTGATCCCTACTGCTCATGTAACAGTGGGTGGTCTAAAGCTACTGATGTAATCCCACAATTTCTTTGATGTCCCTACTGTAGCTTAAAAAGCCATGCAGATTTTATATTCTACTACCATATATAAAATCTGTGTTTGTCTCATAAAAATAATGCCTTAAGTCATTATCTAACAATATCTGTGTTTGTCTCATACTGAAATGTCTTCAGTCACTTGCCAGCTAATTAAAGACAGGAAGTCTGCCCTTCCTGTCTTAAAGGAAAACTGGCACGCCAGGTAGAAGTGTCAAGTTTACCTGGTGTCTTTATCATCCCCTTTACACAACCTCAAACCTTTTGGGGGGAACAGAGGCTCGGTTTGAGAAGGAAGACATTTGATTGTTGGCATTCAAAACATTGACATTTATGGGTTTGACCCTTCTCAAAAGACCCTGAAGATTCATGATGCAAAGAAATCTTTAGTGTTGCTGGGGCCTGAATTAAACTTGCAAACTTGTATTTTTAGGCCAGTAGTTGGAAGCAAGCCCCTTAGACAGGGAGGGGCCTAGCCAGCAGCCCGGCATGCACATCTTAAGGTTGTTTCCTTATTCTCTAGTTGTCAGGCTCCCAACTCTTGGGTAGGTAGGGACACTCGACAAGGTCAAAGGCGTACCCGTATGTCCTCCCAACCTTCTCTCCAGCCCCAACATATGATCAATACCTCTAAGCTAAGCCAGTTGCTTTGTACTCCCACGCTGTCCTTGGATTCATGTAACCCCACCATCTTAAAAACCCTGCAGTGACTTCCCATCACACTGAGAACAAAACCCAAACTCTCAACCGTGGCCTACAAGGCCTTAGGTGATCTGGCGCCTGCTTCCCTCTCTGACTTCATTCCTTGGCATTCTCTCCTCTGATCGCCTGGCCTCCCTGCTGTTCCGGAACAGGCCATGATGCTCCCGCACGCTGCCTGGCTTTGCACCGGCTACCCGCTCTGCTCTTGGCTCCCTCCCGCATTTCACGCAGGGTTTCTTCTAGACGAGCCTCCTCAGAGGCTCTTTCCCTGACCACCTTCTCGGAAGAAAGCTCCCCTAGCACTCTGAAGCCTCTTGCTCTGCCTTCCTTTTTACAGCTCTTGTCTCTCCCTGGCTTCATAGAAGGTATGTCATATTTACTAGCTTACTGTTGGCCTCCCCAGTTTAGCAGGCAAGCACCCTATAGACAAGAATTTTCTCTCTGCTGCAGATGTTCCTTGAACATCTGGAAGCTCCGTGAACCCCCCACGCAAGCCCAGATTGAACCGCTCTTGGCCACGCTGCCATGGGCTTGCCTGCCAAAAGCGATCCCAAACACAAAGGCAATCCCCTTGGAACCAACCTGAAGCATTGTAGCAGTAGGTGTCATACTGGGAGGTGTTGGAGGTGAGAATGTACACCCCTGTGTGGTTTGCGGCACAGATGGGGTTGGGGTGGATGCGGGGAATCACCACGTGCCCTTCTATGAACCCGTACCTGCAAAAGAAACAGCAGCGGTTAGCCACCTGCGAGGCCGTGACGGTATTTCATCCCATGCCATCAAATGACATGTCATGCAGCGCAACGCTTCATTCAACTCACCCTGAAGAGATGTTTAAGGTTTCAGCCAGTGAGTTATGTGAAATCCAAAAATAACAGCAGAGGGAGCGTGAGAGGGATCAAGGCTGATAGAAACAAAGTGATTTCATTTAGGGCTCTATAAAGCTTTTCTTTTTTCTTTTTTTTTTTTTAAAGAGATTCGTGAAAGAAAATAGTTTCAAATAAAAGTTGTGGTCAAGTCAGTTTAGACAAGCAGAAGGAAGTCCAAGTCACAGAAGAGAAAAGAATGACCACTTTATGATGTGGATCCACGGTGGCTCCCCATGACTTTCATACTTTTTCAGAAAATGCATAAAATGACCAGCTCCCTTAGGATAGAATTAGGTGGCTGATCACTTCATCCCACAAATGTCAAATCTGCCTCATTTCCCATCCCCACGCTTCTCTCTTCGTCTCGCCTTTTCCTGTGATCTCTTCATTCCAAACTCCGTTACTCTCCACACGAAGGCTTGTTCATATGCCAGATACATGAGCGATTCGCCTCATGAGCATCCCAGGCAGAATTTCATTGCCAGGGGAAGTAAATTGACCGTCATTAAAATAGGAGTAACAGCGATTAAGTCAGTAGATAGCAATGCCTCATTTAGCTCAGGAATTTTCCAGAAGCATCACAGCCAGAGAAGCATTTAAACCGCTCTGCATCCCCCTCCCCCAAGGTATTTCTGGGAGCATGTTGGAGCTGGAGACCCTTTCAGATAAAACATACAGCACCCAGCCTCTTCCATCAGCATCATGGTGGCTACTCACTGCACAATTTCTCTGGGATATAAATGCCTCAAACAAAAAATTTGCAAGGGATGAGGTGGTAGCAGGGGAAAGGCAGAGAAGGAGAAGCTAAATCCAGCAGGTTTTTTGAAAAATGCAAAGCTAAGGCACAGCCTTTATCCTTCTAATCTCTCCTGATGGTAGCAACAATAGTGCATGACCCTGCAAGACCCGTGGAAATGGCTGTGAGTTTGAAATTTCCAAGCACATAGAACTCATTAAGTCTATGTTGCAATTGCAGCTTGCATGACTAATTCCTCATCTAAACAGACAGACTGGTTTCTCCAAAGACTCCTTAGCTTGGTGGGGGGAGGGGTCGCAATTAAATGTCAGTAAGTTTCCATATATCTGAGAATTGCTACTAATCAGGGTGGGGCAGACAGCTACGGTTTTCTCATAGCCTGAGACTTTGCCATCTGTGCTATGGCACATAGCTGATTCATTGCTACCTAAGTGAAATTATGGAAATGAGTTTTGCAATGCTCACTTTCAGCTATGGGTGGAACCATAGATTTCTTTGACATAGTGTCTCTCTTTTTCTTTTTTAAATGATAATACCCAGTGAGCCTACTCCCATCCCACCCTTACTGCATGCACCAAGTCTGTTGTACACTGACAATCTAGAACAGCGGTTCTCAACCTGTGGGTCGCGACCCCTTTGGGGGTCGAACGACCCTTTCACAGGGATCGCCTAAGACCATCGGAAAACACATATATAATTACATATTGTTTTTGTGATTAATCACTATGCTTTCATTATGTTCAATTTGTAACAATGAAAATACATCCTGCATATCAGATATTTACATGACGATTCATAACAGAAGCAAAATTACAGTTATGAAGTAGCAACAAAAATAATTTTATGGTTGGGGGTCACCACAACATGAGGAACTGTATTAAAGGGTTGCGGCATTAGAAGGTTGAGAACCACTGACCTAGAACCTACATTCCCTTGTTAAGTTATCCTTGAGTTTTTGCCACATCACGTTGACGGCCGGTTTTGTGTGTCACGTCCAGTTTTGGTGTCACACTGTACATTTGGGGATATTAACATTTACATGTGTGTATATTGCATGAGTAGGTTGCTGTTCACAGAGAGAAAAGAAATACTCAGCACATCCGTGCATCATACCTGCATCTCCCCTTTGCTCTCAGTCCTTCCTTGGGGTTTGATCATTAAAAACTTGCCCTGGGCTCAGGCGAAGTAGGACCTGAATCTGGACTCCTCCCCATGCCAGTGATTTGGCCCAGGGCGAGCTGGGGAACTTCTCTGAGCTTTTGTTGCTTCACGCATAAGTAGGGTAATATAATCTACCGTGGTGCCCTTCGAGGGTTAAGTGAGGGGTTGTGGGCAAGTGCCCAGCATCTGTGCGCTCACTGATGGGCAGTGGAAAGAGTAATAACTTCCCTCTTTTTCAGCCTAGGACAGCAGTTCTCAACCTGTGGGTCACGGCCCCTTTGGGGGTTGAACGACCCTTTCACAGGGGTCGCCTAAGACCATCCTGCATAGCAGATATTTACATTACGATTCATAACAGTAACAACATGACCGTAATGAAGTAGCAACGAAAATAATTTTATGGTTGGGTCACAACATGAGGAACTGTATTTAAAGGGCCAGAAGGTTGAGAACCACTGGCCTAGGAGAACATGTCTGTATTTTGTAAGTAGGCCTTGTCTGCATTTCACAATCAAAATTCAGCTCACTAAATCCACTCCCTTAGTGGATTTCTCTAGCTGACCTAGTCCCAGCCCTGGTTAAACAATTAGTCTTGGGAATAGAATCAATGGATGTGCTAACCGGTCTTCCTTCATTGCAGACCACAGCGCAGGGTGAGCAGCCAGCAGAGCTAGCTCCCTTTCTCTGCTCCTTTCATGCTCTCGCCAACGTATCTCTGAATGCATACAGATGTCTTCTACAGCCGCTCTCTGCTTTGGAGCAATGCTGCGCAATACAACTGTCTGTGATCACGGACACAGCCTGTAATCAATGTTGTCCCATACAGGAGCCACTAGCCATTTGTGGCTAGTTGAGCACTTGAAATGTAGATTGCTGCAAGTTACTGTTTAAGACATAAAGGTTTTCCTTTTGAGCAAGAGCCTCCGCTACCGCTCATAAAGTGGGTCTCTTACTCTCTAACCAAGAGCGGAGATTGATGTATTGAATGTTCCTGGTGTCATTCCATTGCAAAAGCACAGAAGGGGTAGCGGTGGACTGGGATGGAAACCGAGCAGTTGTTCAGATGACTTAGAGTGTGTCTAGTGAAGACCAACCAAAGCATACACTTCACTGTGGCCTTCACCACAGCTTGCTCTTAAAGTGCACCCCTCGACCGAGGGTTTGAGGAAAGCTCCACGGAGCACGTGGTCTCCACAGAAGCCTCTCAGGAGGCCCTCCTGAGTGAGTCCCTCCATTCTTTCCCAGTCGCTAGTAATTTGTCTTAATAATTTTCATGCCCCCCCCCCTTTTTCAACCCTCTCAAACTAAAGCAACATAGAAGAGAATAAAGAAACAAACAGAAAGAGAAGGTTGTTTGAAAAATCTGCTTTAAGCCAAGTCTGCAGGGCCTAGACTCCGCCAGGCACATATTTATTTTAATCCCTGTTATTTGGTTTACGTTTTCTTGTGGTTCCGACAATAATATTGCACGTTTCTTCAAAGCTAGGAGAGCGCCATGTGGAAGCACGGCAGGCATTAGGATTCTGGCTGTTGACCCTTAATGGCCTCCTCTGGGCAGCCCCGCTATCATTTACAAGGGTGTCTTTAGAGGGCTTTAAATTTCCACTGTCAGGCAAGTTCCAGATTGACGTGCCAAATTAATAGGTGAGGCCAATAGGCAATCATCCAATCAGATACCAGGGAGGAGCCTTCCCGGTGCTAAGCCCCACCCCCTCGGCCAAGGCAGCCAGTGCTCTCAGTGGGCTCTCACCTGCAGGTCTCAAACCCCGCTCGCCAGGCTTCCTCCATCTGGGCCATGGTGGGCAGGGTGCAATCGAAAGCCTTGCAGAGGTCAGCTGCCTCAGTCCGTGAGATGCTGTAGCGACCATTTTTCTCCACATGGAATACGCCTGCGTACCGGCAGGTTACATTCAAATCTATGGGATGAAACAAGAAATGTTAATATTCGTTTGCATACATAATGAGGGAGGGGTAAGAAGTTTGTTTTTGAGCAGCCTCGTTCAAAAAGCCAAATAAACTTCTCTACTGCTCCAACATTCCAAAGCACCATCACACTTGGCTCAAATCTGAGCTAAGACACAATTAAGTCCCATCACTCCGACTTCCTCTCCATCAATTGCTGCACAACAAACTCCTTTAAAAGCATATGATTGGGAGTGCAGCTAACCACGTTGGGTTTGGCGCTGCTTGCTTGAAATCGAATTTTGCTCAAACAAACTCGTAAAATGTTGAATAAGCCTCCGTTTGTCTCTAATGGCACTGCCACTTTAAAAGGCCATTTGACGGTTTCTTACAAAACGAAGCATTCTCTTACTATTTGATTCAGCGATGACACTGCTGGGTAGTTCCACAAAGGAGTTGAGAACTTATGTCTACACAAAAACCTACACACAGCTGTTTGTTCACAATTGCCAAACTTTACAATCGACCAAGATGTCCCTCAATAGGTGAATGAGTAAGTAAAAATAAAAAGCACATGACTTATGTCTGATTATTAAAGCAATACAAACTTGTTGAAAACTTACAAAATTCTGGAAAGGAAGGAAGGAAAAGCCAGTCCACCACTAAGAATGCATGGCTAACATTTTAAACATTTTGTTGAATCTTCTTTTAGTTTGTTTTCTGATATGTGTATGTGTGTTTCTAGTTAAAAATAATACTAAATATACAATTTTAGATTTGGGAGTCTTTTCTCCCCACTTAATCTTATATTACGTGCATTTTCCCACAATCATGTGGTCTTGCTCCCTTGCTTAGAATCTCCACTGGCTTCCGGCTCCACCCAGAATAAGATCTTATCTGCTGATAAGATCTACGTGTTCTGGCTCCTATCTCCCTCTCCAAACTAAGTAGCTCGCTCTGCTCCAGGTACAGAGCTTCCCTTCAGTTCCTTTGGGCATTCTGGGCCCTTTCCCACCTTCCAACATTTACATCTGCCTTTCCCTCTGTCTGGAATGTTCTGTCCTCGGATTATCCCATTCTTGTTTGTCAACTCCACATCACCTCTTAGCGTCCTTCCCTGAACACTCTAATCCAACTCGCGGCGCCTCCCTCACCTCACCTGGCGTTTGTGTCTTCACAGCAACGTGTTTATTTATTTGTGCGTTTGGTTATTATCCATTTGCCCTTTCTGAGATGGAAGCTCCAAAAAAAAAGGAAAGGCCTTCCACCGGTTTACAGCTGTGTTCTAATGCCCACAACAGTACCTGACAGAGAGGGGATGCTCAACGAATATTGTTGAATGAATGAACGACTCATTAAAACATCTTCAAAAACACACTTGTAACATCTTGACAGATAGGTCGAGGCCTGATGTTTGCTCCCAAGACATCCCCTACGAAACCTAACTGCTATTCGTTGGTGAAAGTGATCTGAGCCAAGGACTTCTGGGAGTTTTGCAGATATTAATCTGAAATCTCAATAAGGAGCTGAACGATCCTCTGGTTCCATAGGATCCTCTGTAACAATCTCAAAAGGCTGAAAAGGCCTTCATTGAAAACTCATTATTTTTCTGGAACTGTTATCCCAGTGTGCACTTGAGTGAGCTCCAACACCGAAAGGTTACGTTATCGACACCGTCCTGGTGAAGCCTAATTCCTCCTGAGCACTTCCTTGAGCCTCCAAGACAGGAGGACTCTTGGACTCTTGCCGACAGTTCCTTGGGGACTGGTGGACCTTGTGCCATCAATATGTTAGTTACGAGCAAGGTCTGGATTCCTACAGATCTGGCTTTAACTCAAAATCTCTCTATCATGTGTGCAGGTCTGCAGATCATCAGGAAGATTCTGCATATTAATCAGCAAGAACATTGAGACTCAGAGAACTGAGTTGCCCAAGGAAGTGAGGATTTCCGTCTCAAGCCTGTAGTCACTTTCCAGAATCTCAGGTGCTTTGTTCTATACTCTGAGCCAATAGCCCAGGTAGGGGAAGCCCACTACTGCATTGTCCCTGGGTACCCGGAACCTCTGGGGTTCTGTGTTGCATCAGCTTCCGAGAACCCTGGCGGGGGGGGGGGGGGAGTGTTTTTAATGTATATCTGTACATATTACTTATAGGTGGAAAAACTAAAGCTCAGAAAAAGTAAGCAACTTTCCCAGCTATTAAGTGGCAGAGCTGGAATTTCATCTTAGGTCTGTTTAGATATCAAACTCATGTTCGAAACCACCTTGCCACTTGCCCTAGGATCTTGTGTTATTAGAACAATATTTCGCTCTGAAGGAGAGAGGAACCCTACGCTATTGGGACATGAGAGCAGAGAGAGGGTCAGTATGATTGAGCTGTACAGGCAACAAGGACTCTCTCCTTTCTGAGCAGGAAGCAGGTTCCCACCCCTAGAAAACAGTGTCAGACAAATGCAAAGTGTGGTGACAAGTGAACCATTAAACTTCTGTATGCCCTTTCCTGACTCGGAAAACAGTGAGAGAAGAAACAAGCAATGACGCTTTGAAAAGACATAGTAGTAAAGCCTATCTCAACTGGTGTTCCTTGCCTTTGTTTGCATCATGAGCATGGAGGTGCTTTAAAAAACTTCAGAAGTAGGAGAAATGGAGAACATCTGTTTTGGTGTGAGATTCATTCCTTTTTGTCTGTAACGGTGTCCCCCTTAGCCAGTCACACAGCACGTAGCTGATGAAGCAAAAGGAGCAGAGAAGAGGGAACCGCACAAGGCCCTTTTGAAATACTGTTTGTTTTTCAGCTTTGGCGTCTGTTGGCCAATCTTAGCAAAGGGAACCTGTCACACTGGGTGGCAGCCCTTTCGGGGGCTCTCCTTGTCTAGCCCATCAAGGAAAAACAAAGCGTCCCCATTCGCTTCTTGGAGGCGAGGCTGGGAGGGGAGACTTCAGTAGATGGCAGGAGAGGCCCACTGCCTGTCCGTGCTCAGCCAGGCGGCAGCTCTCACTCCCCGGTTAAAAAGAAAGGCGGAGGCGTGGCGGTGGTTTGGCGCTCCATGGCAGTTTCTGTCTTATTAAAATAGATTCTAGTTTGCTACCTGGCACACAGATATGCAAATGCAACAGGAACCAATTCAGGTTGAGACTTTAGAATAAAACCCTTCGTGCCACAGCCAATGTAACTTGACAGACAACACCCGCATGCATTGTGTGAGTGTGTCTATATGTGTGTATGCAAGTAGTGGTGTGTGGTTGTGTGTACTCTGCTCAGCCAGGACAGGAAGAAACAGGTAAACTTAATCTTCAGCCCCAGGTTTAAACAAGGTCTGACAGACAGTAGGCATCAGCCAAGGGCTGCCAAATGAATGAAGAGATTCTATGCAAATGTGAAAATTCCACAGCCTACACTTATCTTAATCTCATGAAAAAGTCCAACTCTTAATCCTGACGGCATTCGGCCATCTGGAATTGCAAAGATGGTGCCAAAACTTCATTTCAGGTCAACTAGCCCATGAGTGTTGACAGTTCCTTCCCTCTGGGTCCTTCGTACATTAAAAGGGACCAGACCTTCAGGGCTGAGTGTCCTTCCAGTCCTGATAACTTATGATGACTTCCCAATGGGCTTCCTTAACACTTATGCAAACCAAAATTCTTACCCCAAAGGGTATTGTTAATAGTACCAATGGCAATAACACAATAAATACATCTTGTGTGTTTATTATGTACATGCTGGGCACTATTCTAAGCACTTTATAAGGACTGACTCATTTTACCCTTAAAACAACCCTAGGAAATGGGTACCATTATTATCTCCACTTTCCAGATACAGAGACTGAGGCACAGAGAGGGGGGAAACATGCCCAGGTTCCCAGAGCTGGCAATGATAGAGCTGGGATTCAAATCCAGCCAGTCTGGCACCAAGAGTCCACAGGCTTATCCACTACTTAACTGTACACTTGATTTAAGGAACTGGTTATGGCCTCTCAGCACCCCCAATGTATGGCTGCTAATATTCCATAGCAGTTTCTAAGTAAAGTTAGAGCAAGGCTGAGGCGTGAGTAGCCATGGACTGGCGAGCCCGTGTCTGTGGCAATGGTACTGGCCACGCTGCAAACCCTGCAGACACGCAGGACTCCTGAGATGTCTGTACGCCTCTCCTGAGAAACAGAGGCCCCTGTGATTAGGGATCTGCTGTGACTCAAGAGGCTAATAGCAACTGGCTGATGTGTCTTTCAAACAAGCCTTTCCAACTGGAAATAAATCAAGAACGTTTTCCGTTGAGCCCTCTGGTCTCCAATAAATCTCCTGTATCATGTAATAAATGAACAGTCCCAAGTTCCTCCCTCTGAGACACCCAAAGGGCAACATCAATGGGTTGAGGCCACTTTTAGATTCAGGGTGGAGCCTCTCTGGAGGGAGAAATGCCACCCGGACTGTTAGGGTGGCCAAGAGGACAGAGGGGTCACGGGGCCCACCAACATGGGAAGAGGTTTATCAGTGTGAGCTTTTAGGAAGATTTCAAAAAGGAGCTCTCTAAGAGTGTCTATTGTTTAACCTAATCTGGCACCAAACTCACAGGAAGGTTGGTAGTTCAGGATTCTAACCTCTGTGCTATGCTGCCGATTATGGCAGGTTCTGGGTAAAGTCATTCTCACTTGGATAAGCCATAGCTGACCCATGACACCACTAATCTTAACTTTCTTTTCCACCAGCCTCAGATCAAGGGAAATAGGTTTCTTTAGTAAAATCACCCCACCTCGTTTCCAAACTTTGCCTAAATTCCAGGGCCTGAGACGAACAGTTTCTTGGTTTTACCCCAGTTGTTTCCTGAGTAGTAGAAAAATCACAGGATCTGCTGGGAGTACAGCGCTGTGTAATTTTCACCCAACTTGCCATTACCCACATCTTCCCAAACTCTCCTGAGAGGTGAGTGGGGATGGGGTGGGGTGGGGTGTCACACAGCTGGCTAGCCATGGAAGTTTTCAACCTGGAATCTACACGCTGATTTTCAGGGGATCTATACCACTGTGAAAT